AATTACTTTCCTGATCATTTGCTGCATTGGATACCAGCAGTGAGAGTAGCAGCCCGTGGACGGGCCAGCGGAGGAAGTGTTAACGGAATCCGAAAGCAGCTGGTGAACGAAGGACACATTACCTTTACGAGCAAGGAAAACGCAGAAGTCATCGAAATAAACACGAAAGACGAAAAACTACATATACTCCCAGTATACATTAAAAGCAATAACTGGCAAGCAGATTTTGAAAAGGTGTACGATTTCGGACTGACAGCAGGTTGCAATAACCTAATAATTATTGGGGATATAAATGCTCGCATCGGAAAAGCACAAGCCGCAACAGAACCCACATATATAGACCTCAGGACCAGTAGCACGATTCGTAAATCTAAGGACGAAATATTAGACAACAAAGGCGCAAAAATTGTTGAGATGTGCGAATCACTAGGACCGTTAATAAATTAAACGGGAACAAACAGAAAAACCCATAAAAGTAAGTTCAACAGATTTGGAAAACTATTTTAGTAGCCTACTCTCCCAAATTCAAAATGAAACAAAAATCAGCTATGCTAAGCCTCTGCTTTCCTCGGATCATATGGACTCCCCTTTCAGCCTTGCAGAGATAGAAAGCGCTGTCCTAACACTAAAACTAAACAAAGCTCCTGGTGAAGACAGAATAACTGCAGAATTTTTCAAAAACGCGCCGCTTTGTTTTATACAGCGACTTACCGATGCCTACAATAAATTTTACAGCCATGGAATTTTCCCAGATTGCTTCAAAAAAAGTCTGATCAGCCCAATTTTTAAAAAAGGTTTGGAGACCAATCCCAGAAACTACCGAGGCATATCTGCTCAAAACACAGTCGCTAAGATTTTTGCAGGAGCACTGTTAAAACGTATGACGACATGGGTAAACCGAGAAAACATTCTTAGTGAATTTCAGACAGGCTTTCGAAAGGGTTTCTCTACAGTTGACAGTGTTTTCGTGCTGACATCAATCGCCCAAACCTTTCTGCAACAAAAAAAGAAGCTGTACATTTTGTTTGTAGATTTTAAAGCCGCCTTTAATACAGTGAACCGAAATAGCCTAATGTATAAACTTAGTCAACTCGGACTCTCAACAAAAGCCATACTAGCACTGTCCAGTATCTATGAGGATAACAAAGCAAGTGTATGGGATGGATCAGAGCTCTCGAAATGGTTCGATACCAACAGTGGAATTAAACAAGGCTGCATTCTCAGCCCTCTCCTCATCTCTCTCTTCGTGGACGATGTTGTTGATTTTTTACCAGGTGGAGTGACCGTGAATGGAACCCATGCTAAGACCCTTATGTATGCCGATGACATGTGCCTACTGGCTGACAGCCCTAAACGTTAATTGCTAGCATATCCGAGTACTGTAAAGTATGGAACCTCACCATAAATACAGGCAAATCAAAGATTATGGTAGTTAAGGGTACAGGTGGCCGTCACGCTAAGAACGAAAAATGGCAACTGAACGGAATCCAGCTGGAACGTGTAAAATCGTTCAAATATCTCGGTGTAACGCTTACCACAAATATGAGTTTTTATACCCACATAAAAGATAAGCTCAAAGATGCAAAAATAGCTATGAACGCCACCTGGAAAAACTTTTTAGGCAGAAAAAACGTTAAAATGAGTGCCAAGTACAGCCTTTTCCAGGCGACAGTGAAAACAATTATGTGCTACTCGGCAGAGGTGTGGGGAAATCAAAGATATGAAGATGCGGAACTTTTTTTGTAAAAAAGATATTTCGACTGCCACAAAATACTCCCGACTATGCAATTTTTATTGAAACAGGACTGCCTAGTATATTCTCCTACACACTTCAGCAGCACTTTAATTACATGGATAAGGTTATGCATATGCCAAATAGTAGACTACCGAAAATAATTGCAAAATCTCTCTGTGAAAGAAACGAACTTCCATTCTCTAGATGGGCGGATATTGCAACCGAATGCAGTTGCCCCCTTGATCTCGAGGAAGCAAGTTCGTGGAGCAGGACTCATGCCGAAATCATCACCAGATACAACGACATAGAAAGAGAAAAGTTTATAACTAAGGCCAAAAACAGCGCGTCGAGGAGTGTGTATAAAAATCTTGAGTATAATTTATCTGAAAAAAACTACTTCCACGATCAACATAAAGGAGAACTCATAAAACATATCTTCCAAGCTAGAACCGAGACTTTACCTCTAAATGGCAGGCCATACAGCAGCAACCCATCACTGGAATGCAGCCTCTGCAACATACGAGAAATTGAGGATGTTCAACACATCATTGCAGTCTGCCCTATTCTGAGAGAGATTCGTTGTACATGTTTTACGAAAAGCACCCTTTGCGAATCGGATCTCCACAGTCTTCTAAATGGGGAAAACTGGGAGAATCTGGCCTTCTTCATTACAAAAGCCAGTTATTATAGAAAAAAAATTATTTTAGAACAATTTTAGAATCTAACTTAACTAAATTAACCGTCTGACGGCATAAAAGCCATTGTCGTTGTAACCATTTTTTGTGTGACTATTTGTTTTGATGTCAATTTAAATATGAAAAAAAAAAAAAAAAAAAATGTAGACTTCTACATGTTTCCGGAGAAACGATCCGGTGTGCAGGTTTTTAGGAATGGGACAAATCAGGCCAAGTTGCTTCAGTTTGCCAGACCCTTCCCCACTCCCACTCCCATTCCCACTCCCCTTCCCAATCCCACTCCCACTCCCACTTCCACAACTGGTGTACCGGAGGAGAGCATCGAGGAATCGGACGAGGAAAGAGCTGCTCCTGGCTTGCAATATCCGGTGTCATATTCTTTTTTTAAATGTCACATTGTAAATCTGCACGAAATTGTACGGAAAATGCAACAGATCGAAAAATACAAAGATATGGCACCGGATATGTGCAGCCAGGAGTACTATAAGGAGTTCTACACTGAACCATAGATGCGCAGAAACATAGAATGTCGATTTATAATGTGTCCTGGGTTGACACAAAATAAACTAAACTCTTTTGTGCACGAAACTGGCAGGCGGTCCTACTCATGCCAGATCGTGGAGGATCGCACATCTAAAGGGATGGGGGCGCTTCGATAAATAAGCGGTCGATTGGCACTGGACGATAGTGTCGATCGATGGGCACAGAACATTGGAGATGTCGACACAGGAAGGGTCACATTAAAAAAATATCGCCTCCATCGGATGGCAACGCTGCACTAAGTCAAATCATCGAGATCGACTGGAAAACCGATCGGGAAAGCGGTAGTGTGACCAGACAACGAAGGAAAGGAGATGCTTAGAACGCGAAGCATAAGAGGGAAACATCTTGGGCGGGACATTCAAAGGAGATACGAAGAACGCGAGAAGTCTATGGGGGAAACATCTTGGGCGGGAAAAGGAATGGAGCATCGGCGCTGTGGAACTCAGGTACGAGCTGTGAGCGTCGAGGGAACCATTTGAAGGAGCAAGAGGACTCGAAGGCTACAAGAATTTACAAGGAACACAGCCGGAGAGGAAAATCAAGTCTATGGGGGAAACATCTTGTGGCGGGAACTACATAGAACGAGAAGGAGCGACGTCGAGGGAAGGAGGACCAACATCAGCGACCCAGAACAGCGGATCCAAGGAGAACTCCAAGATAACAGCCGGAGAAGAGGTGCAAGTCTCATTTCGTTCCCGAAGAAAGGGGAGAATGTGAAGAGTTAAATAACTCCTCACAAATAAATGAGAGTTTGGAGGATTACAGCTGGTGAGAGTTTGGAGGAATACAGCTGGTGAGAGTTTGGAGAATACAGCTGGTGAGAGCTAGGAGAATACAGCTGGAGAGAGTTTGGAGAGAAACAAGAAGAGAGTTTGGAGAATACGGCTGGAGAGAGTTTGGAGAGAACGTGTAACGATAGAAGGCGGCGGACTTTGGACCGAGTATGGTGCCGTGCGCAAAACCGAAAAAGGAGAAGCCGAGAATTAACGGGATACGCCGGCCCACATAAGCGGGCCGAGCGCAGGAAGCGGGATCAGTCGATCACAAGGAGTCAATCCAGCAAGATCAGTAGACAAGCAGAAAAACAGTGAACAAACCAAGTCAAGTCAACATCAGGAGGAAGCAGAGTCGCGCCGAGTCAACAGGAGCAAGATCGCTACATCAAGACGTTCGGGACTTAGAGTTGAAGTCTCCGAGCTGAGAAACAGGTAGCTGAGGTCCTCAAGGCATCACGCGGCTAAGTCCGGGCGCTTTGTTCTAATTCTTGTCGCGATTTGAGCTTGGCGTATTGCGCGGCGAATCCGACAGAAGTGAATAAAAAGAGTCCTTCGACAAAGAACCGTGGGCTCGGGAGGGAAGTTGTCTAGAACCAGCTGCCGTGCGAAAACAATTGCCTCGACGAATTCCGGCGTATGCCTGAACCGTCAGGCGAAAATTGTGCAGGCCCGGGTGCGACTAGCCAAGAAGGACGCGCGTCCGAACCACGGGAGTCTCGAGAGGGGTATGCGCCGAGAGCACAGTAGTTCAACGCCAGAGTCCTAGAAAGGCAGCTAACCGAATCCCGAGAGCCAAAGACCCGCTGCACCTAGTCCAGCAAGAGCACGCAGAGGCTGTGGCTGCGAAAGGCGTACGCTTTGAGAGCCCAGTGCCTGTTCACCCTAGTCTGGGAACGCTGACGCATCCCTAGACCCTCAAAGCCCCGAGGCCAAAGACAGCGGAGGCGTTCCGGAGCAGCGAGCAACGAGGCAGCGGAGAGCGACGGTGGAGCAGCCGCAATTCTTCAAGGAAGGCGTTGAGACACCCATCTGTCACCATTAGTCCCAGGCCGAGGGACAAGTCGGCGAATGAAGATCCTAATATAAACATCCTAACATTCTGTGCGTTCTCACTAGACAATCGGGCGGTCATGTTTATATAAATTTGGTGGGACGAACAACACACATCTTCTGAGCTAGCCGCACGATACTCGTAGCGAGCAGACCTACAAAATCAGTTCGTTACATATTTTACAGGGTGCATATGGCCAATTTGGCGATTCATTGACTGCGATTGGTGACGGTGGACTGTTGGACGTAGCTGGCCAACCATTCGCCCACCTGGGCCTTGTTGACCGTTAGCCATTTGATGTTGGCCTTCACCGTTTCCAGTGCCTGTTGGCGAGCTGCAGTTCCGGCTTCCGCCTCGGGATACTTGGTGAAGAACTGCTGCATCTCCTCCAGCTTCGTCTGCGTGGAGAATCGAGCAGTGATCGTGGGGATCAGTCGACCCAAGGTACGCTCATTGATGCCGAACCGCTCCACCAGCTGCTCCCAGTTCTGGCGCACATAGTCCCACACCAAGCTCTGACCCACCGGATTGATGGAGATGTAACCCAACAGCGTAAAGTAGTCCTGACGGCGCACATTGCTCGTCCCAGCCCAGTTGATGTACCGCTGCAGTAGCCACGGCACCTGCACGGCGGCCAGACAGTTCATTAGCTTTAGCTTCTCCTGGGCATCGGTCTCGTCCAGGTACAGCTTCCACACCTGATCCCAGGCAGCCTCCGTGTTCACCTGCTGCAGACCATAATAGTAGACCACGTCCCGTATATCCGGACTGGGTCGGGTTTCCGGACTGGCCAGCCACTGGTTGAATAGCGTGACAGCTTGCTGCAAGGAGCTCTCGTGTCCCAAACTGCAAGCGGAGCTCAGCACCTTGATGCGGAGGCGACTGTAAAAGATTGGATATTTAAATAAGTTCTTTGAGGGAGGCTTCGATGTACTTTATATAGCTGATAGTTTGAAATGAATTTCGATAAGAGCGATATCCTCATTAAAACGTTGATTTATGAGAATACTTTCTTAAATGTTTAAAGGAATATAGTTTTTTACGAAACTTTGTGCAAGTAAAACTTCATTACTGCAGTAAAGTTTGTAATAAACTATTTATTGTTTTAAAGAAATTGGTTGAGCCTAACAATGAAACAATTCTGCGAAACGTCGTGATATTTCAAATGTAAAATTGTCTTACTTTTCCAGATGATCGGTGCCGACAGTAAAGGTGACGCTCTCCACAATGGGCGTAAGCAGCTTGCGGGCGTAAGTTGTGAAGTTGCTGTACAGATCCGTGTAGTAGACGCGATTCCTTAGAGTTGAAAGGGAGGCTGTGCCCACGCTCCAGGGCACGTAGTCCTGCTCGGTCCCCAAGTAAGTGCTCAGATCCAGTGCCACGGCGTAACTCAGCTGTCCGGCAGCGGCCAAAGTATTGGCATCGTTCAGCAAATGAGCACGATCGGCGGTGCTGAATGTTTCCCGGGACGCCTTGATCGTAAATTAACAACTCAAAATGGATGGTTAAAAGGACAAGTTTCTCGATTTGATGATGCCCTTGCAGGGGTTATTATAATTTCAGTAAAAAATAACTGTTTGGGATGATTTTCATAGGCAATTGGTTCAGTTATTTCATAAAAATACACTTTTATTATTTTTGTTATGCATCTGAGCACATTTACTTGATCTTAGCTTAGAGAATCTGATCTTAGCTTAGAATAGTTATAATAAGTATAGAAGCATACATTTAGGACGCCATTTTGCTCTTGATGCAGTTACAATTCAAGGGTAATCAGTAACCAAATCACTGCCGATTTCATTATTTTCTTTTTTTTCAATAATCTGAGATTATAGGGCATGTCGAATCCGTCCATGTAAGGACAGTTTTTAGAAAATTGCACTAAAAATTAACAAAAAAACGAGGACGGAAGCTAACTTCCGCAAGCTAAAGTTTTGATACCCTTGCAGACTTTTCCGAAATTGCTTAAATTGAAAAAGTAGCGAAAGGAATAAGGTAAACATAAATAAACTAGATTTCATGTCAATAGCTTTAATACTGCAAAAATGTCATAAAAATAGAGAAAATTGGATATTTTCGCAGCCTTTAAAAATTTTTCCTACGGAAGCTATAAGATATATACGTCCGATCGGCAAGCGCTTTTACCCTGATCAAGATATGCGTAAAATTTACACACATCAAATTTAGATCGATTTCATCCTATTGTTCCTATGGGAGCTATAGGATATAGACGTCCGATCGCCTTTCAAACTTGATCTGCGTACACATGTTTTAGGATGACTGTGAATGGTTTAGATCGCTAGCTTTTAAACTGAGCTCGCAAACGGTATTGAAACAAACGGAAATGGCTATATCGACTCCTCTATTGATCCTGATCAAGAATATATATACTTTACCACAACTGGTGTACCGGAGGAGAGATCGAGGAATCGGACGAGGAAGAAGGTCCTGGCTTGCAATATCCGGTGTCATATTCTTTTTTTAAATGTCACATTGTAAATCTGCACGAAATTGTACGGAAAATGCAACAGATCGAAAAATACAAAGATATGGCACCGGATATGTGCAGCCAGGAGTACTATAAGGAGTTCTACACTGAACCATAGATGCGCAGAAACATAGAATGTCGATTTATAATGTGTCCTGGGTTGACACAAAATAAACTAAACTCTTTTGTGCACCAAACTGGCAGGCGGTCCTACTCATGCCAGATCGTGGAGGATCGCACATCTAAAGGGTGATGGGCGGCTTCGATAAATAAGCGGTCGATTGGCACTGGGGACGATAGTGTCGATCGATGGGCACAGAACATTGGAGATGTCGACACAGGAAGGGTCACATTAAAAAAATATCGCCTCCATCGGATGGCAACGCTGCACTAAGTCAAATCATCGAGATCGACTGGAAAACCGATCGGGAAAGCGGTAGTGTGACCAGACAACGAAGGAAAGGAGATGCTTAGAACGCGAAGCATAAGAGGGAAACATCTTGGGCGGGACATTCAAAGGAGATACGAAGAACGCGAGAAGTCTATGGGGGAAACATCTTGGGCGGGAAAAGGAATGGAGCATCGGCGCTGTGGAACTCAGGTACGGGCTGTGAGCGTCGAGGGAACCATTTGAAGGAGCAAGAGGACTCGAAGGCTACAAGAATTTACAAGGAACACAGCCGGAGAGGAAAATCAAGTCTATGGGGGAAACATCTTGTGGCGGGAACTACATAGAACGAGAAGGAGCGACGTCGAGGGAAGGAGGACCAACATCAGCGACCCAGAACAGCGGATCCAAGGAGAACTCCAAGATAACAGCCGGAGAAGAGGTGCAAGTCTCATTTCGTTCCCGAAGAAAGGGGAGAATGTGAAGAGTTAAATAACTCCTCACAAATAAATGAGAGTTTGGAGGAATACAGCTGGTGAGAGTTTGGAGGAATACAGCTGGTGAGAGTTTGGACAATACAGCTGGTGAGAGTCTGGAGAATACAGCTGGAGAGAGTTTGGAGAGAAACAAGAAGAGAGTTTGGAGAATACGGCTGGAGAGAGTTTGGAGAGAACGTGTAACGGTAGAAGGCGGCGGACTTTGGACCGAGTATGGTGCCGTGCGCAAAACCGAAAAAGGAGAAACCGAGAATTAACGGGATACGCCGGCCGATATAAGCGGGCCGAGCGCAGGAAGCGGGATCAGTCGATCACAAGGAGTCAATCCAGCAAGATCAGTAGACAAGCAGAAAAACAGTGAACAAAACAAGTCAAGTCAACATCAGGAGGAAGCAGAGCCGCGCCGAGTCAACAGGAGCAAGATCGCTACATCAAGACGTTCGGGACTTAGAGTTAAAGTCTCCGAGCTGAGAAAAAGGTAGCTGAGGTCCTCAAGGCATCACGCGGCTAAGTCCAGGCGCTTTGTTCTAATTCTTGTCGCGATTTGAGCTTGGCGTATTGCTCGGCGAATCCGACAGAAGTGAATAAAAAGAGTCCTTCGACAAAGAACCGTGGGCTCGGAAGGGAAGTTGTCTAGAACCAGCTGCCGTGCGAAAACAATTGCCTCGACGATTTCCGGCGTATGCCTGAACCGTCAGGCGAAGCCAAAGGCCCGCTGCACCTAGTCCAGCAAGACGCACGTCAGATACCCGGGAACCCGAAAGGGACATCGCGCCGTGAGCAGAGCACAGGACATTCAAGGACGGGAGACCTAGACGAGCAGTCCATCGCGAGGCCCAAAGACCAACCAAGCCATAGTCAAGCGAATCCAGTCCACGGCTAAGAAGCGGGGCGGAAGCGTTCGTCTTGAACCTAGCGTCCTGCCACAGGGACTGCATTGGCGGACTTCCGACGTATGCCTGAACCGTCCGGTAGAAACTGTTTAGGCGTCTGGTGTGACCGGCCGGGACAGATCCAGGGACAGGAGGCTGTGGCTGCGAAAGGCGTACGCTTTGAGAACCCAGTGCCTGTTCACCCTAGTCTGGGAACGCTGACGCATCCCTAGACCCTCAAAGCCCCGAGGCAGCGGAGAGCGACTGTGGAGCAGTCGCAATTCTTCAAGGAAGGCGTTGAGACACCCATCTGTCACCATTAGTCCCAGGCCGAGGGACAAGTCGGCGAATGAAGATCCTAATATAAACATCCTAACATTCTGTGCGTTCTCACTAGACAATCGGGCGGTCACGTTTATATAAATTTGGTGGGACGAACAACACACATCTTCTAAACATACAAAATCATTTCGTTACATATTTTACAGGGTGCATATGGCCAATTTGGCGACTCATTGAATGCGATTGGTGACGGTGGACTGTTGGACGTAGCTGGCCAACCATTCGCCCACCTGGGCCTTGTTGACCGTTAGCCATTTGATGTTGGCCTTCACCGTTTCCAGTGCCTGTTGGCGAGCTGCAGTTCCGGCTTCCGCCTCGGGATACTTGGTGAAGAACTGCTGCATCTCCTCCAGCTTCGTCTGCGTGGAGAATCGAGCAGTGATCGTGGGGATCAGTCGACCCAAGGTACGCTCATTGATGCCGAACCGCTCCACCAGCTGCTCCCAGTTCTGGCGCACATAGTCCCACACCAAGCACCGGATTGGTGGAGATGTAACCCAACAGCGTAAAGTAGTCCTGACGGCGCACATTGCTCTCGTCCCAGGCCCAGTTGATGTACCGCTGCAGTAGCCACGGCACCTGCACGGCGGCCAGACAGTTCATCAGCTTTAGCTTTTCCTGGGCATCGGTCTCGTTCCAGGTACAGCTTCCACACCTGATCCCAGGCAGCCTCCGTGTTCACCTGCTGCAGACCATAATAGTAAACCACGTCCCGGATATCAGGGCTGGGTCGGATTTCGGGACTGGCCAGCCACTGGTTGAATAGCGTGACAGCCTGCTGCAAGGAGCTCTCGTGACCCAAACTGCAAGCGGAGCTCAGTACCTTGATGCGCAGGCGACTGTAAAAGATTGATAATTTTAATTAAGGAAGGCTTCGATTTACTTTATATAGCTGATAGTTTGAAATGAATTTCGATAAGAGCGATATCCTCATTAAAACGTTGATTTATGAGAATACTTTCTTAAATGTTTAAAGGAATATAGTTTTTTACGAAACTTTGTGCAAGTATAACCGCATTACTGCAGTAAAGTTTGGAATAAACTATTTATTGTTTTATAGAAATTTGTTGAGGCTGGCAATGAAACAATTCTGCGAAACGTCGTGATATTTTAAATGTAAAATTGTCTTACTTTTCCAGATGATCGGTGCCGAACGTAAAGGTGACGCTCTCCACAATGGGCGTTAGCAGCTTGCGGGCGTAAGTTGTGAAGTTGCTGTACAGATCCGTGTAGTAGACGCGATTCCTTAGAGTTGACAGGGAGGCTGTGCCAACGCTCCAGGGCACGTAGTCCTGCTCGGTCTCCAAGTAAGTGCTCAGATCCAGTGCCACGGCGTAACTCAGCTGTCCGGCAGCGGCCAAAGTATTGGCATCGTTCAGCAAATGAGCACGATCGGCGGTGCTGAATGTTTCCCGGGACGCCTTGATCGTAAATTAACAACTCAAAATGGATGGTTAAAAGAACAAGTTTCTCGATTTGATGATGCCCTTGCAGGGGTTATTATAATTTCAGTAAAAAATAACTGTTTGGGATGATTTTCATAGGCAATTGGTTCAGTTATTTCATAAAAATACACTTTTATTATTTTTGTTATGCATCTGAGCACATTTACTTGATCTTAGCTAAGAATAGTTATAATAAGTATAGAAGCATACATTTAGGACGCCATTTTGCTCTTGATGCAGTTACAATTCAAGGGTAATCAGTAACCAAATCACTGCCGATTTCATTATTTTCTTTTTTTTCAATAATCTGAGATTATAGGGCATGTCGAATCCGTCCATGTATGGACAGTTTTTAGAAAATTGCACTAAAAATTAACAAAAAAACGAGGACGGAAGCTAACTTCCGCAAGCTAAAGTTTTGATACCCTTGCAGACTTTTCCGAAATTGCTTAAATTGAAAAAGTAGCGAAAGGAATAAGGTAAACATAAATAAACTAGATTTCATGTCAATAGCTTTAATACTGCAAAAATGTCATAAAAATAGAGAAAATTGGATATTTTCGCAGCCTTTAAAAATTTTTCCTACGGAAGCTATAAGATATATACGTCCGATCGGCAAGCGCTTTTACCCTGATCAAGATATGCGTAAAATTACACACATCAAATTTAGATCGATTTCATCCTATTGTTCCTATGGGAGCTATAGGATATAGACGTCCGATCGCCTTTCAAACTTGATCTGCGTACACATGTTTTAGGATGACTGTGAATGGTTTAGATCGCTAGCTTTTAAACTGAGCTCGCAAACGGTATTGAAACAAACGGAAATGGCTATATCGACTCCTCTATTGATCCTGATCAAGAATATATATACTTTATGGGGTCGGAAACGTCTCCTTCACTGCGTTACAAACTTCTGACCAAAATTATAATACCCTTTGCAAAGGTATAATTATAGAAAATATAATTGGGATGTTTGGGATAATTGAGTTCGAGTACTGGGTACTACCAAAAACCATCAGTATGCGCCTCTAATTCTAAATCATGTTAAACATTGTAACTTAATACCGATGTTTTAACTTTAAGTACTATTAAATCTATGAATTTTGTTTCATATAAACAACCCCATACTATAAAGGAAAATTTAACACACAAACACCAAAATGGAATCAAAAGAATAGTAATTATATTGTTTAAACTATATCTGTATCGGTATCGATAGTTGTTTCATGTTGAATCCCCCATAATGGACACGACTAATATAACCCAATATTTCCTTCCAGATCGATTGTGCCCTCTTACGCCCACTTGGCCTTCCCCTGCTTCGATGAACCCGCCATGAAGGCCCAGTTCACCATCACGGTGGCTCGTCCCAGTGGCGATGAGTACCATGTACTTTCCAACATGCCGGTGGCCAGTGAGCACGTCGATGGCGATCTCACCGAGGTGACATTCGAAGAGACTGAGGGAAGGAGGGACTCGACTTTGACGTAAAGTAACCATAGTGTACCTCTTGAAAAGGTGCCCCATCTAATTTTCCATTTTTTTCTGTTACTTGTAGACAGATCATGCAAACCTGGACGGAGCAAATGGGTCTTCCAGTTGTGGAGGTGTAGAAAAGTGGCAACACTTACAAGTTCACCCAAAAGCGTTTCAAATATGAACGAAGAATTGTGAATGCTAATAATATTTTTGAAGAAAATACAATACAAAAAATGTTCTCTAGTTCCGTTTTGTAACATATGGAAGAGTTGGCCCTAACATAAACTTTTTTAAGTTCCTAGATGGAACTTGCTAAGTTAAAATTGCAATAATATAAGGCAACAGAAAAAGATTTTATTTAGTGTAGGTACATATCTTGGGAATCGTATCAGTGTGAGCTAAATCATCAATAGACTGATAATTCCTTATTTGGTGGTGGCAGTAGTAGCTGGAGCGCTGAACAACATCAGAGTAGCAACCACCAATATGGCCATCAGGAAAGTAGAGGACTGCATAGTGCTTTGGTTGGAAGGTCGAAATGACCTTCTAATTATACGTGCTTTTGGAGTTCTAGAGATCCTAGAGTTAAATTATCTTTCTTAGCACAGTTTGTTTAGATGTTTTTGCATTTGTATAGAAATATTTGCATTTTATGTAGGCAAGTAAATATTTCGCCAATAATCATTGGAAAGTTAGTCAATTAGCTTAATAGAATGTTAGTAGTAATTATTATTTTTACTTTTTATTTTTATTTTCTACCCAAACTAGTCCCTCAGTTTTAAAGCTATCTGTTAAAACTTTCCCAAAAGTAGTCTTTCTATAGGTCGAAACGAGCCGGATCGGTCTACTATATCATAAAGCGCCCATAAGAAAATCGATAATATAAAAAGAATAAAAATGAAAAACAAATTTTTTATTCTGTTTTTCTATTCATCAACATATTCCTTTGAGATATAGTAATTATTAACTATATCAGAATTATGCTTTTAGTTTTGTCAAAGTCGGACAGCAATATCATATAGTTCTCAGAGAAACGATGGCAAAATGGAACGCAAAAACTACATATGTACATAGCTTCATTGTTTTTAGGGATATATGCATAGAAATCGAAATGTGGTCGATTTGTAGTAACGTCAAGGGTATATGAGCTTCGGCTTGCCGAAGTTTGCTTTCTTTCCTGTTAATAATTGCATTATTGGAAAGAAAGTTTTTTTCCATGATACAATTTAATTTGATCATTTAAAATTGTACAAATTGGACGAGCTCATGGAAATCACTTTTAGTGATCCGAAAAAAGTTCATTCGTCTTACACCAGACCCATAACACAAAATCGAGATAAATCATTTAAACGACAAGTTTCTAAAGGGTCCAGTATGTTTATGCCTTCCAGAGGGTATTATAATTTCAATGCAACGCAGTAAAGGAAACATTTCCGACCCTATAAAGTATATATTATATATTATATATTATATATTTCAGCATCACCAGGAGAATCGATTTAGCCATGTCCGTTTAAAAATTATGGTTCCTAAAGTTTAAAAATGATGTATTCCAAAATGCTGCATTTCAAAACCCCCTTAAATTTAAAGGCATACGATTTATATCGACCAAATATATATTTATTTATACATTAGTTTAAGATTTAGCGGACATTCTATTGTGTAGTTCGAAACAAAGTCCCACACCATATGCATACTGATCCCCTGTGGCAACAGCAAAGTAATGGAATTCTTATAGGTGCATAGGTTCGTGGAAGAAAAAATGAGGAAAAGTGGGTTGTGCGTGGGAATGACTCGAGCCCGCTGAGCACAGAGTCCTGTGACGTATACGTCCTCCATGTGGACTATTTTGGTACGAATGGCAGCCACATACAATCGCTGCACGACATCCATGGACATTAGATAGCCTCCGCCGGACAGGCAGGCGGGAAAGGTTGTGTTTGGGAAGATATAGTCTGGCATGTAGAACTTTGAGTTCACAGCCCTAATGGGTTTTTCTCCGTCCCGTTTCCTGCCGACCATCAATCCGCTGGTGGCCGTTAATCGGGATTGATCACCTATTGGGTTTTTCTTGGACGCCTTGAAAACCGGCACAGTGCCTCCAAGTAAAATGTGAACAACATTGGGAACATTTACAAAGGTATCGTCATCCGCCTTGAACACATAAGCGGTGGTCTTGGAGCACCTGTTATTTAACTGTTTTAGGGCCAAGACTGATTTTAGGGTGAGGTTATTGTAGCTGTCAATAAAGCCCTCCTGAATGATGTCGTTGTACCGATCGGCTTCCATTTGAAGTTGCCTCGAGGACTGGACGTTCTTACTCCGTCCAGTGATAAACACCACCCTTACAGAAGCCCGAAGGTCATCATCCTCTCCTGTGAGGTACTCGGCATAGTGTTGTATCCGACTTGTAAGTGGAGGGTAATAGGCGCCCCTCAAGTGCGCATGGAGTTTTTGAAAGACTGGATAGTTGAAGGAAGATGTGTTCCCCCAGGTTTCCCGAATATACTGGCGACTCAAGAAGTTATCTACGGTAGACTCTATTACAATTAGCAAAAAGGTTTTCTCTTCACAGAAACCACGAGGTATAATAATATCTGTGTCATCCATTGGCCAAATATAATCCCGTAAATCAAGCGAGTCCGCTGGCCAGTCTGGAAATTGAGCTATGAAATGCCAATTATTAAACAATAACTTAAAACCAATAACTTTTATTTACCGAGACAGTAGTAATTTCGAAATCTGTAACCATTTATAATTGAATTAATTAAAATACTAAGAAGAAAGCACTGTAGAGCTTGGAGCAGACGGGACTTAGACTTAAAAAACGGAGAGTTCCAGACTCTCAGCGTTCTAATATTTTTCATAATGATAATCTTTCGAAAAAAGAGTGCAAGCTTACGCGTACCAAGTGCAACTGAAGCCTCGCGCCGTGTAAAACGGGGGAGATGAATTAAGCTGTTTCAATATTTGTTTAACTGTCTGTAGCGTGTATTGTTTAAGATTTAATTAGAAAATATAAAACAGCAATATAAAACATAGATTAAATATAACAAATTTTGCAGTCTTGTGTACTTCATAAGCAAACACTGCAATTTTAAGACAAAAACAAGAAAGGAAAGCTAACTTCGGGCGGAGCCGAAGTTGATATACCCTTGCAGAATATTCTGTAAATTATATTGGTTGGCCAAAAATAAAACCCATAGAAAATCCCAACATACTAACTTTACAAACACCAAAGTTACGCGAACTAGTCTCTCAGTTTTAAAGATATCGAATTGAAACTTTGCACACACCCTTCGTTCCTTTGCACGCAGTATATAAGTCGGAACGGCCGGGATCGGACGACTATATCCTATAGCCGCCATATAACTGGTTGATCGGAAATGCCATAACTTTGGTGTTTGTAAAGTTAGTAAGTTGGGATTTCCTATGGGTTTGATTTGTTTCTAATCAATCCGACCTACCAAATTTCATAAGGATCGGCCGACTATATCCTATAGCTGCCATATAAATGAACGATTGGAAGTGCCATAACTTTGGTGTTTTGAAAGTTAGTAAGTTGGGATTTTTTATGAGTGTTAACAATGCATCATATGAATAATTTTGGTGATTATAATTCACAGAATATTCTGCAAGGGTATATCAACTTCGGCTCCGCCCGAAGTTAGCTTTCCTTTATTGTTAGAAAATGTCATTAAGGAAGAAAAAAAATCATAAAGGACTGGTGTTAAAGTGGACATAGAAAATATGTTTGGAGCCGCAAAATCTCACTCTTCGCATATCTAATCTGTAAAAAAATAAAAAAAATTTTTGGCAGCCTTGAAATTCGTTCAAAGCTATATCTTTGGTAAAAATCGAACTACCATGAAAGACAACACAGCTGGTGTTGGTTGAAGCAATTCAAAGAGGAACTAACAAGTCTTTCAATTATATTTTTGTGGATTTTTATGGTTTGTTTCTCGGCACACGCACATTATTGGCTTCGATTGTAACTAAATCCGTTGATTGCCAGATTTTGACCTTGAGAAGAAACTCTGTCCATATTTATGTGTTTATTATCCAACACGAGGGAAACATTTCGATGCATACTTTCTGGCTGGCGGACAATGAAAGTGCGTAAACGGAAATAACTAACGGCGCGCTAGTGTTTGTTTAATTCCGCTTCAGTGTCATTTTATGGACTGATTTAATGCCCGACCCTAAAAGTGTGGCCGAAAGTGTGCCAAGCTGGAGGACATCAAACAGTGTTTTTGTTGACAGGGTCTGACGCAAACAGGACACTTTCCGAAATTGTTTACGATTGGAATTGATAACGCTGCGTAACCGATTAGGAGGCCGCTCGAAAGTCAATCAGATCCACTCAAATGGCCCGTGGCCAATACGCAAAAATGATGACGACATGTGATGGAGCCACATGTATCGGCGGTGGCCCATGGGACTGCATAAATTTCGATTCGCCATCGCTGAGTTATCGCCATCATTCGCACAACAAATGACAATATTTTCCAGCAGCAATGGCAGTTCAAGTTGTGCCCCAATAATCTGCTGCCGCCATGACAACGATTTATCTTTATATGCGAGTATTTCGATTTGATTTCGGTCGTAAATTTGCCGGGTCAGCTACGATTTAAGGTTAAATATCAGTTTGCCGGAATCTTTAAGAACCATTTAGCAGCCACACGCCAAGGTCGCACAATCGACTTGTCTGGGCCAACTATTAATGCATTGTACGAGGCCCAATTGAGACAAGATAATGAACAGCGGGCCGAATCAAGTAGACGGCCAACTTCTGGAACTGTAACAGCTGCAGGCGTCCAAATTGGCCATCCGACAGGAGTCGGTTACCAATGCAAGCCATCTCATTTGGCCTCTGTCTATGCCCCTGTGTGCCATAAAGTTTGCCCCATCGCCGCACTCACTCACAAAAGTGTGCACTCGAAGAAAAAGTAAAGCCTTTCTTGCCCTTGAAAGCACAACGGAATGTTTTAACATTGTGGAATTTAAGAAATATACTCATGTATTTTGAAAATGTTTTATTCCCCTAAAAAGATACACTACATTCGCGTCAATTGTATAATTTTATTATACAAATTTATTAATCAATCTTGTATGTACAATTTTAAGGCAGGGAAGTTTTTCTACTTTTTAAACCATTATTCTAAATTATAGAATTATAAATTATTATTAAGTAGATCACTATCGAAAAGGAAAGAAAGAAAAAAATTTTTAATTATTATTTTTGTATTTTTATTTCTTCAACTTTACGGAATTAAATTCTGTGTGTGACTCTTAAAATAAACTTATTGCTAATAACTTATTCTTATATAATATTTTTAAAGTGTATGAATAGTTGGCCCTAGGCCAGGCAAACTTAGCTGGCCTCTTCAAACGCAAAGGGGCGCAAAGCCAGCCATTTGTAATCAAAATAAAAGCAACTTTAAATTAAACTCTTTTGCATTTTCATTCCCCAGAATTTATACATACAGCTTTGTTTAAGGCTTAGTTATAAACGATTAGGCTTAAGATTTATTTCAAGCTGTTAAGCTAATTTGTAGAAATTTTTAAAATAAAAATGTGGTTATTGTGACATTAACATTTATGTTCCCTAGACAAACGGAAAAGCAAAGGGGCAGCCTGAAAAAATTCTGATCGTGATTGCCATTCATATGCACTCAATTGCTGGTCGGCCAATAAAAAATAATTGCCTACCCCCGAAACACCATAATATAATGGCGTCAGAAGACAAAAAAAGCAGTGGGATACGAGGATTGTCATACTCACGTTTAAGTGTTTACTCTCGGTATCTCACATCTGGAATGACAGTCGTATGGAATATTTACCCCAATTTGCTGCAGGGGCACTTTTATGACCACGAAACCTGTTGAAGCGTACTCTGATGGCTTAAGATGGCGACCTGGCGAAATTACTCTATTAGCTGCTAATTGAATTGGCTGTCTCCTTTGCCGGTGCTAAGGGAAATCAGCCGGAATTTCAACAACCGGGTGGGCTCTCGACATGATTAATATTGCATTTTGTCAGCGACGAGACAAAAAACAGCTCAGTTGGATGAATGGACTCACATACCTTGGGGAAAACAACAGACAATACGAAGGTCCGAGAAAGGCAGACTCTGCCCTTGTTTATGTTATATGAATAGAGCCTTCTTTTCCGGTCCGGCTCCTCCGCCCTGGCCATTAATCTCAATTCCAACGGCAAACATTCAATCAACCCGAAGGGGGCACAAGCGGATTTCGTAATTAAAGACACATTAAGCGCTCGTTAAAATTAAAGTGCCACTTAAAGACCCGGCTGGAGAATATCTGCACCGTGTCCATGGCTCCTGCCCCATTACAGGCAACGTGCTACACTTAATGGTCGATGCAAATCGAGAACTATTGGCAATATTGAGCGAAATCGAAGCGGAAAAAGCGATTAAATGAAGCATTGAAAAAGTTGGTTGTGAACATTTCTGTTTCCCAGCGCTGAATATCTTAACAAAGATTACTTGCAAACCTTTTCTCTCGTCCTTAAGATTTAATAAAAATAATTATGAATCTTAGTAAAGCCGATTCTTAATAAATATTTATTGTCTGTCAATATTTACCTATAAAATCCAACGTAAGCGTTAAAAAAAAATGGAAAAATTATAGAAAAAAATCTAAAAAGAAATTGCTTAGCCAACTAAAAGAAAATAAAACACACTTTTGTATATTTAAATGAGTTTTATTTACACAGCTTTGTTTATCCACACACCGTTTTCCCACTTTTAATCATCCACCTCGTAGATGTATTTATATTATTTTGGAATTTATTGTAGTGTTTGTTTGTGAATACCACAGTGCAAACGTGTCTAAGATCAATAGCGATTAAAATATCTCAATCGAAAAACAAGAAAGGAAAGCTAACTTCGGGCGGAGCCGAAGTTGAAATACCCTTGCAGAATATTTTGCAAATTATATTCTCCAAAATTATTCATATGATGCATTTTTAATACTCATAAAAAATCCCACCTTCCTAACTTTAAAATCACCAAAGTTATTTCATTTCCGATCAATCAGTTATATGGCAGCTATAGGATATAGTCGGCCGATCCTTATGAAATTTAATATGTCGAATTGATTGGGCAAAAATAAAACCCATAGAAAATCCCAACTTCCTAACTTTACAAACACCAAAGTTATGGCATTTCCGATCAATCAGTTATATGGCAGCTATAAGATATAGTCGGCCGATCCTTATGAAATTTGGTACGTCGGATTGATTGGCCAAATATAGAACCCACAGAAAGTCCCAACTTCCTAACTTAACAAACAGCAGAGTTATGGCATTTCCGATCAATCAGTTATATGGCAGCTATAGGATATAGTCGGCCGATCCCAGCCGTTCCGACTTATATACTGCGTGCAAAGGAAAGAAGGGTGTGTGCAAAGTTTCAACTCGATAGCTTTAAAACTGAGAGACTAGTTTGCGTAGAAACAGACAGACGGACAGACGGACAGACGGACAGACGGACATGGCTATATCAACTCAGGAGGTGATCCTGATCAAGAATATATATACTTTATAGGGTCGGAGATGTCTCCTTCACTGCGTTGCACACTTTTGAC